TTTATAGTTTGCACCATCCTTTCTGTTAATCCATTGGATTGCGGTTGGTACAGAGTGAGGGGAGGGGTATATGGCTTGCATCCAGTTTTGTTCAGCTATTGGCATAGTTCTTTGTCATAGAACTCTGGGCGTTGTCAGATACTAGCATTTTAGAAATTCCATTTCTTGAAAATATGATCTTTAACATTTAATTCCCAATTGAACTTCTTTTGTTGGAAGCCTGTATTACTTCTGGCCAGCCTGAATATGAATCTGCCAGTATTAGTAATAATCCCACTTCATTAACATGGGCATGATCCATGTGTACCCTTCCCCAAGGTTGGGACTCTTTAGGCCATGTATGTGTTGAGGAGGCACAGTGGAGTAATGAGTAGTGGCTCAGATTGAGGAATCTGAGAGCCGAGTTCGAATTCCAGTTGAATCCATTACATTCACTTATGTGCCAATACCCTTGGGAAAGGTATGAATCTTCTTCTGCCTCCAGCTAATAGCAGGACAGACCAGGTTCTATAGCCTTGGATGGCAACTGATCTACCACAGAAAGAAATGGCAACCTCTTGCAGGGAAAAAATTTGTCTCATCAGTTATGTATTGAAAGATACATGATTGCCTAAGCATGTATCACACATGGCACATAACTGACTGATGTTTTTGTCTGTCTAAATTTTCTTCAGCATTGCACATATTACACCATTTTATGTATTCTTCTATATTTGTAGAATAGCCTGGCCACCATGCCTCTAGCCTTAATCACTTTTGTGTAGATGCTATTCTGCAATGAACATCATTATATATACTTTTTATAACTTTGCTCCTTTGCATTGCAAGCAAAACCACTACTTCCCCATTACAAATTACACCATTTTCTACAGTTAATTTGTGTTTAACCTCTTTAAAATGCCTTTCTGGCCATGAGCAATCGTTCCACTTATTATTTTTTATCTTGAACAATATACTGTTTAATATGGGATCTCGCTTTGTATCCTCAGCTAATTTGTCTATTGACAAAATATCAGTTTTGACCCAGTGTAAGAAAGTATCATAAAATTTTTCCTCCTTTTTCTCACTTTCAGAAATAATAAGCCTCAATCTTGACAAAGTATCTAACTGTGGAATGGTATTGTCTTTCATGTACTCAATATCAAACTCCATTAACATTAAGGTCCATCTTAGAATTGTAAATGAGGTTACCTTAGGAAGTTCCTTCCTAGGATTAAATATGAATTCTAAAGATCTATGGTTGGATCTTCATAGGAATTTCTTTCCAATCAGAAACTGACAAGTTCTATTTGTCATCTATATTATAGCCAACACTTCTTTCTCCATATTTGTGCAGTTCACTTCAGCTTTTGACAATTTTCTCAAAAGATACATGATAGAATGACCATTCTGAGCTAATATTGAGTGTTCACTTGTGTTGGTTGTGTTGGTTGTTACTACTAATTCTTTTCTAGGGTTGAATATTTTCACGACTGGCAGCTTTGCCAAAACAGCTTTTAAATTTTCAAATGCGACTTGTTGTTCTTTTGTCCAAACAAATTCCACATTCTTTTTTCTTAAAGCACCAAAATGTTCTGTCAATTCGGAGTACCACTCTACATATCATCTGTAGAAATTTACAAGTCGTTAGAAAGCTTCCAATTCTTCTTTTCTTCTTAGGTACTTCAACTTTTAATATTTTGTCAACGATTGGTTTGGTGATATGCCTTCATTAGATATTTTTTAGTGTTGTGCACACATTTTTTTTTTTTTTTTGTTAATTGTTAATCCATCATTTTTTAATTTGTTCAAAACCATATTAGTTTTCCATTTTAATTCTTCACCGTTAGTAGCATCAACACAGATGTCATCCTGGTAGCATATTATATTTTTTATATTGCTACCAATAACTTGCTGTATAGCCATTTGAAAGATCACACTTTTGGTTTTAATTCCATATCGCATTCTTTTCCATCTTAATAAATCTATTGGCGTATTTATTGTGACTTTTTTAAAGTCCTCATCAATAGGTATTTGATGATATGCTGACTTTAGATCAATTTTAGAGAATATTTTTATACCCGTAAGGGAGTTCAAAGCCCGTTTTTGCATTGGGGGACAGAATATGAGTCTGCACATATTTTATGGTTTACACCTATTTTGCAGTCACCACAAATACGCAGATCCTCATCCTTTTCTTAAAATTACTAATGGGGAGGCCCATTTGCACCCACCTGGCAGAACTTGTTCAAGTAGATCTTGTTCAAGTAGATCTTGTTCTAGTAATTTTTTAGTTTTTCCACAACTATTGATGTACTAGCACTTTTCATGCTTGAAAATAAGACGGGGAGACAGTTTCCTTTAGTCTTAAATTTGCTTCATAGTTTTTTAACATTACGGTTTCTTCTGCCTTTACTTTGTTTACTAATTTTGCTGAATTTATGTTCAAAACATCATTTCCAATTAGACCATCATTCTTTACACAGTTTGCCATAATAATTGGTAATACATTATTTTTTTAGTTCCACATAGGTTTCAAAATAGCCTAACATTAGTATCAAAGATCCATCAAACCGATTCAATTGGAGAAGGCTTTTCTTTAATTTTAGTTTTCCTAATTTCTTCCAGAAATTTCTGAGTATCAATGTCACATCACTTCCTGTATCTAGTTACTTGTTCAATAAAACATTATTGATTCAAATTTTTAATACCCCTTTTTTCATTCTTTATTTTTTTTTTTTTTTTTTTTTTTTTTTTCAATAAAAAGATGTCCATACTTATTTCCTTTTCATTTTGTTGGACCATCTCAACATTTTTCTTTTGGAATTTACACGTGCGTTTAAAATGATTTACTTTTCATTTTGTTGGACCATCTTAATATTTTTCTTTTTGGATTTACACGTGTGTTTAAAATGATTCATTTTGAAACACTTTTTACATTTTTTTTTTTTATATGCCAGACATTTTTGTTTTTCTCTTTGATGTTGATAACCACAAAAATTACAAATTATTCTGTCTTTTTTTTCTTTATCGCATATGTGTCCATTTCCTCTACCAGATCTGTAACTTTTGTTTTAATAAATTTTCCAATTAATTCTTATTGGTGAACAAATTCAACACACTCTTCTAGTAACAATTTTCCCAGTTCTAAATGCATTAGAGTCACATGCCGGTATTCCTCATTTTGAAGGCTGTTTACCAATTACATTTGGATCAAATCATCTTCGATTGACTGGTTTTCCAATCCCTGTTTCTCAAATTCACATTATTTAGTGACCTGTTTTAAATGAAGAACATATTTCATAACTGGTTCATTCAATTTTTGAAATCTTTGCATTCACTAGTTTTTTCATGGGTGTGCAATTGCTGATAATTTTAATAATGGTCTCACAATCAGCAGTTGCCCACAAGAGATCAGTTACTTGGCTTTCTCCTCTGACTGATTTTAAATCCTTTACATTTTTTTGTTCTAGCTTTAGTTGCTAGTATACTAAGCTATGCTTGTGTGTATTTATAATTATCAAGTGATAATTGTTTGTTCGGTTCTTTAGATATTGGCAACACCATCGTAGTGTAGTATTACTGAAGTAGTATGCACTCAACTCCCTCATGGGTAATACCTGTAACAACTTATAGTCTTTGTGACTTCATATGTAAATGAGTCACCTCAATAAGATTTTTAGCCACTATTCAACACCCATAAAGTTTAAATAAGTTTAATACAATCAGTCATGTGCCATGTGGGATACACACTTAGACAATCATGTATGTTCCGATACATGACTGACGAGGCAGATTTTTTCCCACAGTAGATTGCCAGTTCTTTCTTTGCTTGACTAGTTGTCATTCAAGGCTATAGAACCCAGTCTGTCCTGCTATTTACCCATAACTGGGGGGAGAAGAGAATTCATACCTTCCCCAAGAGTATTAGCATGTAAGTGAATGTAATGAATTTGATGTTTCTTCAGGTGGCAAACAATGATGGTTAATTTGATGTTGAAGCAAAATGTACAATTTTGTAGTGGATATTTACATGTTCCGATGTAACAGTGCATAATAAATATTTATTGCTCTACTGTTGTATTGATCCCTGTTTTAAATTAATGTTTTGAATGTTGAAATTTTATTCTTTGTTCTTTTACATTTGGAGATATATATATAGTCATTTTGATGTGGTTTAATGGTTAGCAAGCTTGTCTTTCAAGATCAATTATGACTGAATAGTGAGTTCAGCCCTCACTGTGTTTTCCATAATTTAGCTTCATGCCACATTTAAGCTATACTTGGTAAATCTATCTATCTATCTATATATATATATATATATATATATATATATATATATATACCTTAGATAGGATATATAGTGATTTTTTATATATATATATATATATATATATATATATATATATATATATATATATATGGTTGGTTGCTTTACAACACTTCCCATTCTAAACTTTTTTTTCACCTTAAATATTAAGTTTTTAAATTTGTAAAAAAAAAAATTAAATACACACACGCACGCACACAAAATAAAAAAAAATCATGAATGAATTTTCAGTAACATTTGAAGTACTATCCCCAAAAATGTTTTTCTTTATAGGAATGGGGTAGAGGTCTGAGAAGCTTTCAAATATGGAACTAGTCATAGTTCTGTGACTTGTCTGTTTGAGTGATCTTCCATTATGCTCAAAGATCAGTGAATAGAAGATGTCTCTACTTCCTATTTGAAGAAAAAAGTTTTTTTTCTTAGGAATGTAGAACAATATGGTGTACATTATCTGTTTTAAAAGCATGCAGAATTATCACATAGTTTCTATTTTAGAGTTTTACAAAAATATTCATTTTGAACTTCAGCAACAGCTTGGTTAACATTTTTGCCATTAGCTTAGTTCACAGAATGGGACAAAGAAACGAAGTGTCATAGTTGGTTTTAAAAGGATGCAAATGAATTTAACTAAGTCCATTTATGTAATTTTTAAGTAAAATCTACTGACAACTATTTCAGTCAAACAGAAATTTTAAGGGAAAAGAAAGTAAAAGGAAAAATGAAAGAAAAAGGAAAGAATATAGAAAGAAAAAGGAAAGAATATAGAAAGAAAAAGGAAAGAATAGAGAAAGAAAAAGGAAAGAATAGAAAAAGGAAAGAATAGAGAAAGAAAAAGGAAAGAATAGAAAAAGGAAAGAATAGAGAAAGAAAAAGGAAAGAATAGAAAAAGGAAAGAATAGAGAAAGAAAGAAGAAAAAGGAAAGAATAGAGAGAGAGAAGAAAAAGGAAAGAATAGAGAAAGAAAGAAGAAAAAGGAAAGAATAGAGAGAGAATGAAGGAAAGAAAGGATAATAGAGAGAGAATGAAGGAAAAAAGGAGAGAACAGAGGAAAAGGACAGGATAGAGGAAAATAGAAAAAGGGATCAAGAAAAGGGATAATGAAAACAAGAAAAAGTAGAAGAGAGAAATAAAAGGCAAGATAATTGAGAAACGAAGGAAGGTAGAAAAAGTAAAAAAGAAAATGAAATGTGGGGGGGTAAAATGAAGGGAAAAAAAAATGCATTTACTGTCACAATGTTCAGCTGCTTCAGGCCCACCCCCGCTGTTCTTCTTTCCATCACTGACTCAGCTTCTAAAAAAATTCCTGGAGACTTTCTATGGGTGGTTCTCTGTCCTGAGGTATTAAGAGTTTTTGATGCAACAAACCTGATGAGTATAACAGAAAGATTCTAAACCTCTGAACACCCTCCCCACTTTTTTTTATACATTTTTTTTTCTTTTTAATTTCCTAATTTATTCTTTTATCATTCTTATTTTGTTTCCAATCCTTTCTTTGCTTAATATTCTTCTCTCTTCAGTTTTTACTTTTTCTTTCTTTTCTTTTTCTTTTCTTTTCTTTTCTTTCTTTCTTTCTTTCTTTCTTTCTTTCTTTCTTTCTTTGGTCTCTTTCTTTCTTTATTTCTTTGGTCTCTTTCTTTCTTTTCTTTCTTTTGTCTCTTTCTTTCTTTTCTTTCTTTTGTCTCTTTCTTTCTTTTCTTTCTTTTGTCTCTTTCTTTCTTTTCTTTCTTTTGTCTCTTTCTTTCTTTTCTTTCTTTTGTCTCTTTCTTTCTTTTTGTCTTTTCTTTTTTTTTCTTTTGTCTCTTTCTTTTCTTTTGTCTTTTCTTTCTTTTTCTTTCTTTTGTCTCTTTCTTTCTTTTTCTTTCTTTCTTTTTTGTCTTTTCTTTCTTTTCTTTTTTTCTTTTCTTTCTTTTGTCTCTTTCTTTCTTTTCTTTCTTTTCTTTTTTTCTTTTTTCTTTCTTTTTTTTTCTTTCTTTTCTTTCTTTTCTCTCTTTCTTTTCTTTCTTTTGTCTCTTTCTTTTCTTTCTTTTGTCTCTTTCTTTTCTTTCTTTTGTCTCTTTCTTTCTTTTGTCTCTTTCTTTCTTTTGTCTCTTTCTTTCTTTTCTTTCTTTTGTCTCTTTTCTTTCTTTTGTCTCTTTCTTTCTTTTGTCTCTTTCTTTCTTTTGTCTCTTTCTTTCTTTTGTCTCTTTTCTTTCTTTTGTCTCTTTTCTTTCTTTTGTCTCTTTTCTTTCTTTATTTCTTTTCTTTCTTTTCTTTCTTTTCTTTCTTTTCTTTTCTTTCTTTATTTCTTTTCTTTCTTTATTTCTTTTCTTTCTTTATTTCTTTTCTTTCTTTATTTTTTCTCTTTCTTTATTTTGTCTCTTTCTTTATTTTGTCTCTTTCTTTATTTTGTCTCTTTCTTTATTTTGTCTCTTTCTTTCTTTTGTCTCTTTCTTTATTTTGTCTCTTTCTTTCTTTTCTTTTGTCTCTTTCTTTCTTTATTTCTTTTCTTTCTTTATTTTGTCTCTTTCTTTATTTCTTTTGTCTCTTTCTTTCTTTTGACTCCTTCTTTCTTTGTTTCTTTCTTTTGACTTCTTTTAGTTCTTTCTTTCTTTCTTTTAGTTCTTTCTTTCTTTCTTGTATCTCTTCCTGACTTCATTCCTTTTTCATCCTTTCATATCTTCTCTGTCACAACTTTTTTTTTCCTAATGTTTTTTATTTATTTATTTATTTTTTTTTTTGCAATTTTTTTTTCTACCTTTATTTTGTTTTTAAAATTTATTCTTACATTGAGGTATCTTTGGAACAGCTTATCCATTACTAAACTTATTGTTTCCATTAGTGTCTCTTCACCATCACTCTTCTTGCTATTTGGAACAATATGGAATGTATCAGTTGACCCCAGGGCTTGTGGAATTGTAATAAAGCTTTTTAAATGAGGAGTCACTGAAATATTTCAATATAATTGATGCAACATTAGAAAAAGGAAATAATTGCCCAAGGGCTCTTCTCATAAAAATGTTAATCTTTTTAACTGATGACTTAAGAAGAATGGTTTCTTACAACTTAAGATTCTGTTAAAACTAAAACATCTTCAGAGATTTTAGTTTTTGTTGGCAACATTAGTATCTAAGAATTTTTAAAAATAGTTCTTCATCTTTATTAATCAATGCTGTTTGTTGACTTGTTTTCTCATCTTTGTTACAATTATTTTGTCAGACCAATTTCATTGTTTTCTGGGCTTACAGCCATAACATGTTGAAACACTGGTTTTCATATGATCACTGAAGTAAATGTCAAGCCTGGTCATTACCTTGATGGGTGGTGACCACATGGGAATATCAGGTGCTGTATGCTTGGATGTGTGGGTGGTGTAATGAACAACAGCTCAGAATTGATCAGCAAGTACCAATTCCAATCAGCTTCATTATATTTGCATACAGAAAGGTCTTGGTTAATTAGTAGGACTTGTATCTACTTGTATCTTCAAAGAAATTCTTACAATATCTCTCTATATTTCTGATATGAGGTATTGTAATTATTTGCATTATTCAGATTGTTGTCTTCATTTTTATTGTCATTTTCATGATGTTTTGGCCATTGTATGCTCTGGCCTTGTTCAGGTGATTGGTATTTCGAACTGAACTCTTTATTTCGACCGGTTGGGTAGATTGTTCTAGTTCCACGTACCATGCCTCTTCCATGTCTCTATTATCTTCCTTTAACTCGACATTAAAAGCATGTATGAATTTTTGGGACTTATAAACTTAATGTCTCAGTAAGCATTTTTTTACCAGAGCTCATATTGCAGTTTTTGTTGTTATTATTGTTGTTTTTCTCTAACTCTCCGTATTACTATTCCCATATTGTATTCATCTCTATGCTTAGCCGGCTTATGAGATTTTTGTGGCCTGGCATATGTACTGATTCCTTAGGTTTTCGTATTTTCCAATGATGTTCTCTATTTCACCCTCATCCCACAGTTTTTCTGTCTCAACACCCTTTAAAGGGAGATAACTGAGACATCCGGAAGAGGTGTGGTACATGAAACTAGAACAATTTACCCACGTGGATGAAATAAAGTGTTCAGTATGAAATCTAAAAATATTTTTTGACTTTAAATAACCTGCAAAAAATTATTTTTTTTTATCAATCATCTTTTTGTGTCTACAGAACTAATAATACGGAGTGTTATAAAAAAGCAATAATAACAAAAATTGCAATATGAGTTCTGGTTAAAATTGTAAACAAGTCTTTTTTTTTTTTTTGTTTTTGCTTTTTTGCACATTTGAATACGTGGAGACCTAGTTGCACAGTCTTTATTTGATTTGATAGCCAATAAGAGGGTTTCACTCTCTCCTTGGGTTGCTCATTTGGAAGTGTTGTATGTGAGACTATTAATTGAGTAGATTCTTCATGTATTGTGCAAGATTTTTTCCCCGTAAAATATCACATTACTCAGTCACCATCCTTTTCAGATTTGGTTCCCTGTAAGTAATTTTTGACCTTTCCAAAATATGTATTGTGTCTATGTTTATCACTACTGATGGAAAATAAAATTGCAACACTGATCAATGCTGATTTTGATCAGAGTACAGTATCTGAATATTAGGAGGACAGTGGATATTCTAATAAAAATTAAGAAAACTTCAGTCATTTTGTCAGGATTTTGTTGCAACCTGGAAAACAGAATTATCAGGGAATCACAAAATAGTCAAATTTTTAAAAAAATTTTCTTAAAAATGTCAAAGAATTATCAGTTAATTTTGGTTTAAATGTTAAGGAAATCAGGGAAATTTCTGCAACTTGACATGAATCAAATTATTTTTATTAAATGTGTTTTTTTTTTTTTTTTTTTTTTTTTTTGATATTAATACTAAGTATTATCCATTATTATATTTTTATTTTCTAGGAAAATTTGAATAAAAATGTTTACTTTTTAAAATCTTGAATGGACCAAAGTCTTAATCCTGAATTTGTTTGTTTGGGTCATACCAATGAAAGTCAATGCTAGTAAAATTAATTACTGCTTTCACCAAAACACAATTTCATTCTTTGTTTTCCCATATTACTCATTCTTGTTATCAACAATTTTTAAAATGTATTCAGGAAAAAATATCAGCCGAAAAGTAGAAAGCAAAAGAAGGAAAGATGGCAACTGGACAAATTAAAAACTTAGAAAAGAAGCATTCAAAGTTGAATGAGAAGATCAGAAAAGAGCTAAGTGACATTGACCTTGACATTGCAGAACTTAAAAAGTCAAGAAAGTAATAAACTTGACCACATCTTATATTTGAAGTAGAGAGGTTAAATTTTATTTGATGAGAGAGTTTATATTCTACAATGTGTGCTTTTTCCTTTCATCTTTTTAACCCACTTGGTGCACAGTTATATACTTACTATTTGTCTGTCTTTTATGTTAGGTTATGACCCCAAATCAGGGAAATTCAGTGGAGTTTTTCAAGGAAACCAGGGAATTATATATAACTAGCAGCATGGCCCGGCGTTGCCCGTGCTTGATTAAAAAATCGTACGACTCATACAGCAATCGCTATCACTTAAGATATTTTTGCCCTTCCTTGCCTTTAAAGGAGTGCCCTTTGCTGTGCTGATGTTGCTACATGCCTTACTTCTTGCCTATCTCACACTGCAAATTTTTTCTAAGCTCTATACTAAACATTAAATCTGTTATGAAAAAAGAACTAAACAAAATAAACACAAAATGATCAGCTTTAAAAAAAGGACTCGTAACTGGAAAAACCGAATGAAAAAAGAATGTTAACAACAAATACTTTTTCACACCCAACCCAGTTCTGTGGAATCAGAATCAATGTTGAGTTTAAGCAAGTGAATCAGCCAATTGGCGTAAAGTACCATGCAGATTAAAATTTTTCCCACTTGTGACGAATGCAGCTATCGATTTTTTTTTGCATACTAGTTAACATTCGTGTCAGTCAGGTGTTGGCTCTCACACTGGTCAATAGAATCTTCCTGCCTATTTGTGGCAGCCAGCCATTGGCTCTCACCCTGGCCAGTACAAAACGGTTGCAAACTACATGAAAAGTGCTGTAGAAGCATGAAAAAATCGATTATTTCCACTATCAATGGAAGTTGGGAAATGAAAAGTTGGTCTTGGCCTTTCCACTAACTTGGAGCATGTGCATGTAAATTTTGATGCAAATCTGTCAAAAATTGTGGCCGTGCATTCATTACACACACACATACACACATCCTGCCTTTTATAGATAGATTAGAGAGAAAGAACAAAAGAATAGTTACACTTGGTCTTATGATTGCTTAAGTGTTGAATTTGACAGATATACTACTTTATATATATAAATAATCAGTTCACCCCCAAACAAGGCAAAAATGCCACTGAGGCACAAGGGGCTGCTGAGAGTAAAAGAGAATGAAAAGATTTTAGAAAGAACCAGAAATAATAATCCTAAATAGGGGACAAGATATAAACCAATACTTTTGTTCAAAAGACCAGGGAGGAGTGTGAACTGGATGATAGGCAAATTTATCTACTCCTGTTGAGTAAAGAAAACAAATAATTAGTAAATAAAATTTCGGAGATCAGATGGAGATGTTAAAAGTAGAGTGTTGAAGTAGACTTTTGAAGAAACCAGAAACCCAATCCTAAACAGGAAACAAAGGATAAACCTCTACTCCTGTTCAAAAGACTAGGAAGGAGTGTAAACTGGGTGATAGGCAAACCTATCTACTTCTATTGAGGCAAAAATAAAATAAATAGTAAATAAATTTTGGATTTCAGATGGAGATTTTAGAAGCATAGAGTTGAAGTAGACGATGGAAGGAACTGGAAACGCAAACTGATGTGGCCTTGATTCTTTCTCATCTCATTTTTGTCAGCATAAAAGGAAATAATCATAAAGTAATTGTGCATTTTAATGACAATTCACTTAACATTTCTCATTGTGTCCTTCATTTAAATCTCCATGTTGAACAGCAGTTTTAACGAATACCTTGAAGACTAACATGATTGATCTTGTTTTATTTTAATTGGATTTTATATTGATCCTTTATTTATTTTTTTCACCTTTCAAGGACAGGATTGCGTTGTTTTACACATCATTCGTTCCCAAAATGAAGATCAGTTCTGTTTTGGGCTTTCATCATTTTCAATTTATAAGCAAGAGTGGGAGTTTGCATTAACTTCATAACCAATCATAAAAAGAGGTGAAATGTTAAGAGTGTAAAAGGCTTGTTTACATACCCTCTGAATTTCTCTCGTGTATCCCAGTTTGAGAACTACTAATTTAGATGATATATTTAACCTTTGGATCAACTAAATTTCAATTTTGGTTCACTAGGAATTCTGTTTATTGAGCTGTCATAATGTTAACAGTGTAAAGAGCATTGTATTCAAAGGTCATTGATCTTAGATTATAATTACAACTTTAGAAAGTCATTTTATTTTCTATTATGTGTTTAGAGTTTCTGTTAAAAAAAAACTTGACCTGTAAAAGGCCAGGTGAAATATATTGATCAAAACAACAAAGATGAAAATAATCAGTTGAATAGTGTTTAAAATACTGTCTGTAGTCCATTTTATAACTTCAAACAATATTGACACCTTAAAGGATTTTTATTTTTTTCAAATTTATTATCTTTAATTTCCTCTTTTTT